TGGATTGTTTTTGTATCATTTACTCTATTAAATCGCTGTGTTGTGTTTGGCAGCACATTAATGCAATATTTTGCATTAACCTTAATTTGAAAAACAACTGAAAGAAGAGCTGTTCTTTCTGCTCAATCAACTCTGGCTTAAGATTTGTTTATAAGAAGACGAGTTAGACGATATATCTGCAACCTTGAGCTACTGTAGTTTTGTACTTTCTGAAAAAAAAAATAAGTGTCAGAAAAGTGAAAGAAGAAAAATAAATCTGTTTCTTTGCTAAAACGGTCTTTGTCTAATTTGCTGGGTGACTTTAGCCAAGCTGATGCCTGGAAAGGAAAAAATTGTTCAAACTGCAAATTTCAGATGAGAAGTCCTGCTCTCTCTGGTGTTGATGATGGTTGGAGGAGTTTTGGCTTCGTATGAGAGCTTTAAACACCAGCTGAACCACGATCCAATTAGTCTGTGGACATCACAACTAATGATGCATCAGGATACCGTTTAATGATTTCCCCAAAAAATAATACCTTGGAGAAAACCTTGAGGGGATTCGATCTCTACGTCCCTGAAGTAGTTAGGTAAAAATAAAAAGACTGGAAAAGCTGACATAATTTAGAGTCTCGGGTTGTAGACGCATTGTCTGGGCTGCTGCCATGAAGTGCTGACATGTTCTATTCAACATGCAGAGCAAAGAGAGCCAGACTTCCAAAAAAAGACCCCCATATCAGGCAGCAGCAGGTACGACTGATTTATAATGAGCTACAGGGATGGAAACCGATGCTGCAACCAGATAACTACTAATTGTGCAAAGCTGCCACTTCGTTACTTCACTGCCAGGTTCTTAAGGATGGAGTTTGGGCAAAAAAAGCACCTTTAACACCCAAAGTCTGTCGTTTCCAACACTAAACGAAGCAAAATTTGTTTTTTTTTTTCGTTCATTGTCTATTAGAAAAAAAAAAGCTTAAACTTCCTAGTTACATAGAAGGAATTTTCTTCTCGTAGTTTCAAGCTAAAAACATTTTTTGTAAATGGTGATAAAAAAAAAAAGTTTGAAATTTGGAAGAAATGCAATTAAGAAAAGAAACATTGAAAAACAATTTAATAAAAAAAGCTTTTGAGAGTAACTGTAGTGTTTTCTCTGATTTTGTTATCTAACTTTTAATTTGCTTCAAGCCCAACATAAAAGTTCTGTGTATACGCCAACATTGACAGAAGGAGAGTATTGGCATGGCTGTGGCGATGCGATACGTGTCACGATATTTGGGTCATGATCAGAGCATATGAGCGGAGCGGAGCGTGGAGCGGAGTGTGGAGCGGAGCGTGGAGCGGAGTGTAAGAACAATAGGTAGAGCGCAGAGAGGTTTTCAATTCAAAGGAGAATCTGTTAGTTAAATCTCTAATGTTCTGCTCTTTCTGCTTTTTCTCATTGTAGCTTCATCTGTTCCTGTTTGGCTGTGACTCCATCCTGGAGAGAAATATCAGCTGTGCTGCTGCCATCAACACTTTTGTTTATACATGCTCGAGATCTGCCTGTTTTTCAGTGTAGTCCTGTTTCTCTGATCGTGACTGGCTGGATTTGCTCTCTCGATCCTCTGACATGGGAGGTGGCTCAAAGCTCGTCTGCCTGGCCACGTTATTCCTGGACGGGGCCGCCTTTTACAGCTGCTTTTTTAATCTCGGCTTGTCTCCTTGAATCCCAGTCGGCCTCAGCAGAAGGCCGCTCACACTGAGCCTGGTTCTGCTGGAGGTTTCTTCCTGTTAAAAAGGGAGATTTCCTCTCCACTGTCGCTAAACGCATGCATGAGTCAATGCAATCAACTGGTTTTGCTTAGATTGAAATATTTGAATCAATTTGACTGTATGATCGGGTGAACCGTAAAGCCCCTTGAGATGACTTGTGTTGTGAATTGGCGCCATTGAAAAAAACTGAATTGAATTTAAAGGGTGGAGCGAGGATTTTGCTTCGCTCCAGTTCGCACCGAACGTCAATTAAAAATGTTGGAATATAAAATTTGTAAATTAACATTTATTTGATTTAAGTGTGATATTTTTCAACATGTTTGACTGCATGACCACAGGTAACAGCAGTGCTGAATGCAACGAGGAGGAAGATATACCTGCGCTGTCGCAGATGGAAGTGGATGCGGTTACAGCCAATGCAGAAAACATGATAAACACCTTCTTCACTGCCTCGAGGTTACATTTGAGATGCCCTATTATCCATCTGCTTCAGCTGGCAATGAAAGATGTCGAGACAAGGATTGCATATTATGTGATAAGAAGTGGGATAAAATATAAAAACATACACTAACTATACTTAACAACACAGAGTGGGATTACATAAAGTAATTGTTGTGGTAAGAGCCATTTGAAAATGGATCGCATACATGCATTATACGCTATTATCTAATTTGCAATGGGATCCAAAGTGACCTTTTTTAATGTAGTCTAGTAAAATGAAATAATAATTAAATAAGAAACTCGGGGCAACATGAATGGAGCGAGGTGTTACGTTCACAGCTGGGAAAAAGTGTGATAACTTAACAGCCAGTTAAATTAGACAATACACATGTATCGGTCACATCATAAAATCAAACGACGTGTGTCCCAGGGCCCAGTGCATAACTACATGAAGGAAAAATGTCAGAAAAAGCCTTCTCCTGAAAATGTGAGCGAGCGTGGAGCGATTTTGCCGGAGCAGCAGGAAAATTAAGGTAAGAACACAGTGTCCTAGCACAACTTTGAGCGGCGGAGCGAATGAGCGAACATCCTCATGAGCGGGGAGCGGGAATTGCACGGCGCGTCGCTCCATTCACATGCCCTGGTCCTGATACGATATTATCATGATATTGCAATATCACTATATATTGCAATATTTTTCCCTGTTGTAAAATTAAATTAAAATAAAAAAGCGAGTGCTGTATATGTTCATCAGAAGATATAGTGAGTCAATGTCTACCAATGTGACTGCCTCAACTACAGATATGACGCTGCGCTGCACAGCGAAAGGGCTCCACAGCGCTATCTGCCAGAATGGAGCAGATGTAGCCCATTTTCCCTCATTGTTTTAGGTAAATGGTTTTTCGTTATAAAAAAATCGAAAGTAGATACTGAAAGATTGATATTATATTGGGCAACCAAAAATCATGATATATCGCCAAAACGATTTTTTCCCACGACCATAAAGCCGGGCTTACACTGTACGATTTTTTTGCCCCTTTTGAGCCGACTTTCCAGTCGTGCGAAAATTTTTTGATCGGGAAAACCTACAGCCTGATCGTCATGTAGTGCAGAGGGGGTAACGAGGGGCGATCAGCCTCTCACAACCATCTCCAAATCAGGAATCGTGAGGTCAGGAGAAAATCAAACGTTTCAAATTCAGTCGGCCGTCATGGACAAATTGCTCAGTGGGCAACAAGGATTCTTCTTCTTCTTCCTCTCAGATGTAAACACAGAAGCATGGCGGGGGTGCGAGTGAAATGGAGTTCTTTCTGTAAAATTGACAGACCATAGTAGCCACGTTTGCTCAGCCATGTCTTCTTTCCAAATACGTCGTCGCCCTTTCTTTTTAGAGATTTAAGCACAAAATTGCACAAATTGCCAAGGCAGCGCGTTTCTCTCTAGTGAGCTTTATATTCCTTCTCTACTTGTTTGGCTTTCGGATAGACCAGTCCGAGTAGCGCCACTCACTGCGGAGCTGAGCCCGACGTGGTTTTTAGACGTACAGTGTGAGCAGGTAGATTGCATCAGAGCGTCGGATCGCAACGTGTGAGAACATACATCATGAGCTTTGAACTCACACTGTACGACAAAACCCAGTGTGAGCTGTAGCTGTGTGCAACGATTTTAAAAAAAAAATTGCACAGTGTATGCCCGGCTTCACATTGACAGATAAAAATGTTGCTAGAGTGAATTCAGACCAATTGAGATGCATCTTCACTCCTCATTCTAGAGGAAAACCTGCCCCAGAAGTGAAGAGAGAAGAATGCAGTTTGGAAAACTCAACTGAAAAACAGAAATAATATAAATATTAAATCTGTAAAATGATAATTGAAAAGGATAAAAGTTGAAGAATAAATATGAAAAACAAGTTCCCCTTCAAAACTCTATTTGATTAAAAGGTTTTTCAAAGTTTTATTTCTGTCTTGGATTTTAAATTGACAAAAGATGTTCTTTGTTTGAAACAATATTTAAACAAAATTCACTTAATCAATTCTTAATATTCTTTAAATTGATCAACTATAACTATTGCATTAACTCTGGTAGATGCAATATTAACATTTCAAAGTAAAAGTTTTACTTTCTTCAGCCAAACCCTCATATTTCAGACCTGGGCGATATTCTCGGGCAAGAATCCAGTCTACCTTTTATTATCGGCAAAAAGGAAACTTGTTCAAAGTGTAGGAGTTACTTTTCCAGATGCTCTGAGCGGGAAGTTAAGGATAATAGTGCTAATTATCCCCCGTTACAAAGCTTAAAACAGCTTTGAGAGAAGAGATGTCAGCACACTGAACACCTCCCATTATCAAGTCCAAAGGGTCTTCGTCTTTGGAGCTAGTGAGAAACTCTAGCTCCGAGAAACATATTTTTTGCACAATTAGAAGTGGGGAGAGGAGGAGAGGAAGTGAAATAAGATAAATCTCACATTTCCTGCACATAATCCCTACAGCAAGAATGCTAAATGAAACCTCTGAATCATGAAATTAATTAAGACAAGATGAAAACACTGTCAAGCACTGCTGAGTGCAGAAAGAAAAACAACAACAAAAAAACAAGCTTCTGTGGGTTAAAACGGAGTGAGTTGAGTGATTACTGTCAGCTAAAATGTGCTTATAAAGCTTTTTACAGAAAGGTAAAGATCAAGGAAAGGACCTAGAGCGCCTCTTTGGTTTTAAAACACTGATTCAGGATAAAAAAACTTTGATAAGCCTGAAAGAAATCCCTGATGATGACAAGCCGCTGCATGCTGCAGTCATTATCGGAGGCTTCACAAGATACTATAAATGCCTCACCTCGTAAGACCTCATGCGGCGCATGGATGCAGGAAGCTTGGAGTTGCTTTCTTCCATCACCTGCAGCAGCTCCTCGCACGCCTTCATGGGAAGGACCACAGGGTGTCCGATGCAGTTGGCCTCCCAACTCGTCACAATCCTGTAAACAGCAAACACACAGAGGAGACCAGCGTTAGACCATGGCTACTGTGTTTTTGCATATTTATTCCATGAAAATAGGGGACATAACTGGATTTTAAACTAAGGATCATTAAAAATATTCCTGAAAAGAAATAAAGAAAAACAATGAAAGCTGAAAGGAGAATGAAAGAGGGAAGGAATTTGGCTCTGAGGTGTCCACATATTCCATTTTGGGGGGCTTGTGGCCCTCTGTGCAACTCCTCAGAGGGTCTGTGGCTCCAGATACAAACCTCCTTAAGTTTCTTACATTTCACCTCATCTCAACCGTCCAAAAACTGTGATTTATTTTATAGCATAGAGTATTTCATGTGACAAATTTCCTGCAGATTTATTATGGATTTATTGCTGTAAGATGAACAGATAAATAAAAACAGCAGTCATGTTTTGGTGGAAAGGATGTAATCATCAATTTTGTCAGCAAGGTCCTTTTTTAACCATTTTACACCATTTAGGTTAGTAAACTTTAAGAATTAAGATAAATATAAATATTTTTATACCATTTTCTACAGCACACTTCAACTAACATCAATCAGGATGTACTTCTGGTTGCAGAACGACAGATCATCACATCAGCTAAAATCTGAAGGTGAGCATCAAGACACACCAAAAATTCAGCTGGACTTTGACTAGGCCTTTCTAACCATGGCTACGCTTTGATCTAAGCGATCATACGTGTAGCTCGGTATGTTTAAAGTCTCTGGCCTATTTGGATGCGGACGCTCTGCACCGGTCTTAAGTCTTAATCAATCTCTGATTGGTTTTCTTCCAGGAATGCTGCGTATTTAACTCCATCCATCATCTCATCCATTCTAACAGGCTTTCCTGTATCTGCATTAGGAATCCATTCCTGCAGCATATTTCCCATGGGGACCGCTGTGTTCAAGGTGAGGTGAAGTGGTAGTAGTCTAGCATGCATGGTTTTTAGGAAACAAAACCAAAGCTTCTCGTGGCTTTGTTTCAGCAGAGCAAATCTCTGGTAGGTGAATGAATGAACAGTGATCTGTGTTATGTTCTATGTTTAGGCTATAGCTTTATAACCAAACCTTTGTTTTAGTTAGAGGTTCTCAATATAATTGGCTTCTGACTAAACAAAAAAGAATTAGAATGGAGTCTGAACCCAAACTATTGGTTGAAATATAAATATTAGCCAATAAACATATTCCCCACTGGTGTTCTAGTAATAAAAGCAGCATCATCATTAGTTTTGTGTATTTCTTTGTGATGCTTTAATATCCTTAAACACACAAATAAGCTTCATCATTGCAATGTTTAGCGTTTAGTTTAAATTTCTGAGCATTATAAAACCTGCTGAGGTCATAGTTAGCTCCAGGCTTTGGGATTCAATGATTTAGACTTCATAACAACTCTTCCTTTCTAGGTCTTCATGATGCTGTTTATTCCCCGATAGGAGTTTTAGATATAAAAATGTATCATCATCATGCATTTCTTTGTTTTGGTCAAATGACATCTCAATAAATTTCAAAACAAATAAATAAATCAGATAGTAATGCAATTTTAAAATGCATTAGAAGGAGATGACTCCATTACGGTAGGTTATAAGAGGAATGCACTTAGGCCCCAGCTCACTGGTTCTCCAGCCAATTATTGGCAGTTTAAACAAGACATACTGTAACCCCCCTACGGCTGCAGCCGACTGCATCCCACTGTATCCCAAATAGTAAGTCCGTCATCACTAGGGAATTCAGCTCCCCAGGCATAACATTTCATTTAAACTGTCAGAGGTGAGTGATGAAGGATGCTGGTAAATTATGCAAAAGGGGAAATGGAAGAGTCGGTTATACCTGCAGGAAAGTAGGAGGAAGAGATGACATTTAGGAAAAGTTTAAGGAGAAATGATGAAGCCATGACTGGTATAGGGGTTATTATAGCCTGGAGATGTGGTCATCATTCAATTTTAGATTCCAACGCTGGATTTATATATTAAACAATTGAGAAAGTGTATGTCTTAAATATTCGGTCACTTTTTTAGATTTACTGAGGTTCGTCTCTTTTGCTTTTTGATATTTCATTAATAGTCATCAGCGAAAAATCAACAACATGCATGAAATCTACAGCAATAAATCTGATTATCTTTGCGTTTTAATCAATTAGATGCAACAAATCAAATTGATTGTTGGATCTTTTGGGATAATAGAAACAAAATCCAAAAAATCTTTTTGAATCTAGATGCGTTTATTAACTTCAATTCACTATAAATGTAAATGCCACTTTAATAAATGTCTCCCCTTCAATCAGCTGTCTTGTTTCGTTATCGTGATAAGTTTATATTCATGATAGCCATTTTTGTTTATTGTCTAAATGATACATTAGAATGAATCATTATTAAAACAATGGGTGATTTTTTTTTCCTTTCATTTTTTTACTTTTAAGGCATTGTCAAATTTGTAGAATATGATTAATATTTTTTTTTAGATAAATCAGCTTCTTTATGTAACTGGTGTCCTGAAAACGCCACATTTAAATGTATATCCTTTTAGATTGTGGGGCTCTCATAGAAAGTAATTCTTTTATTATTATCATGAGAATATCACCCAATAAAGTGATAAGATTTTAAGTGCATATCACCCACCCCTACTTAACAATTAGAATGCATTTAAAAAAAACAGGAGTAAGAAAGTTTGAATTTGCTTTAGATTTTATTTAAAAGAAATGAGTTCAAAACTATGCTCCATCCCTTTCTAACCATCTCTCAACAGTTTATAGCTTGGGTGGAAACCTTTTGTAGTGATTCATAATCACAGATCAGACTTTAATAGAAATCATTTAAGGGCCCACAGTGGCACAATTTACAGTAAATAAATATTTAATTCATTGGAGTAAAAGTATTTATTTAACTTTGTTTTCTCCTGTTTGTAATGATGCCCATTGTTCAAGCTAAATACTGTATATGAGCTAAACTAGAAACTCAGTTTTACAAAGAAATATGAAGAATGATCCTTTAAAAATTAAAGGCATGTCAAACTCATTCTTAGAATGTTGGTTTATATGTTTACAAGATGAACTGACATCTGTGGGTTTTAATATTCAAGGTTATGTGAATAAAACAGCTATAAAAGAAGCTTAACAGCCTGCGAGCAGATGTGGTTTACGCTGATAATGGACGCTTTCTCTAAATCTTAAGGAGAAAAAGCAGAATAATACTTAAAATCAGATTTGGTTGGATGACCCATTTATGTTGTTGAAAACAGACCTTATTAAACACACTGTTAATGTTATAAGGAGAGCTTAACATTAACTTTATTGCTCACTGGCCATTGTGGCTAATGGCTACTAGCCACTCAGTATTTTCAATAGCCACAATTTTGTTG